TTAGCAGGGTTGAGAATATTTCTGTTTCAGGGCCATTTGCCTTTATTTTACTGTAAAATGTCTGTTCAGGGTGTTGGTCTTTCATTCAATTTTTTTTTAATTTTTTTTTTATTTATTTATGATAGTCACACAGAATGAGAGAGAGAGGCAGACACATAGGCAGAGGGAGAAGCAGGCTCCATGCACTGGGAGCCTGACATGGGATTTGATCCCGGGTCTCCAGGATCGTGCCCTGGGCCAAAGGCAGGCGCTAAACCGCTGCGCCACCCAGGGATCCCTTTCATTCAATTTTTTAAAAAGATTTTATTTATTCATGAGAGACACAGAGAGGCAGAAATACAGGCAGAGGGAGAAGCAGGCTCCCCAGGGGGAGCCTGATGTGGGACCTGATCCCAGGACCCCAGGATCAAGACCCGAGCCAAAGGAAGATGCTCAACCACTGAGCCACTCAGGCATCCCTCTTATTCAATTTCAGATACTCTTTCTATTTAGGGTTATGGGGGATCCCTAGGTGGCTCAGCGGTTTGGAGCCTGCCTTTTTTGGCCCAGGGTGTGATCCTGGAGTCCCAAGATCGAGTACTATGTCGGGCTCCCTTCGTGGAGCCTACTTTTTCCTCTGCTTGTATCTCTGCCTCTCTCTCTCTCTCTCTGTCTCTCATGAATAAATAAATAAAATGTTAAAAAAATATAGGGTTATGGAATTGTCTCATATAAGTTATATTTTTTGAGTCCCTCATTTGTCATTGTATTTAGCTTGTGGTATTTTTTTTTCTTTTTTTTTTTGCCACATAAAACCTTTTTATAAAGTGCCATGTAAAATGTTTTTAGTTTTATGTATTTGAATGAATTTTATGTATTGCCAGTATTTCACATTATTGCATCTAATTTTGACCATTGCTAGCAATGTTTTCCCTACTCTACAATTATAGAGGAATTTACCCATAAATTCTCCTAGTACTTGTGTAGATCAAATTTTGACATTTAAATATCTGTTCTTTTTTATTATTTATTTTAAAGATTTTATTTATTTGACAAAGAGAGAGGGAGAAGAGAATAAAAGCAGGGGAACAGCAGGGGGAGGAGGAGGCAGAAGCAGGGTCTCTGCTGAGCAGGGAACCCAATGTGGGACTTGGTCCCAGGACTCAAGGATCATGACCTGAGCCAAAGGCAGATGCTTAACAGACTGAGCCATTCAGATGCCCCAAATATCTGTTCTTTTAAAATTTATCCTTAGTACAGATCCAAATTCATCTCTTATGACTACCCAGATCTCCACACCACTTACTAAAAAGTCCATTTTTTCCTCACTGCATTGAGATACAGCTTTTATCTTTGTGAAATTTCCATATGTATTTGGGTCAGTTTCTCACATTTCTATTATATTTCATTGATCTTTTTCTCAGATACCAATGCCAACTATAAATTATAAGGGCTATATATATATATGTAGTGTGTTTTAATATCTGATATAAAATCTCCCTACACATTTTTAAAAATTGTTTTTCATTTCTAAGATTTTATTTATTTTTGAGAAAATGCAAAAGAGAGCACAAGCAGAGGGAGCAGCAGAGGGAGAGAGAGAACCAGACTCCTCACTGAGCAGGGAGCCCGAACTCGATCCTGGGACCCTGGGATCATGATCTGAGCCAAAGGCAGACATTTAACTACACCACCCAGGCACCCTCCCCACACACTTTTAATGCTCTTCTTTGTCAAGGCTTTTCTTTCTTTTTTTTTTAATTTCAAATGAATTTGTAATCAATTTTATGCTTATAACAGTTTAAGGCAGGAGTGCTTATCTGAAGTACTGTATTGAGTTTTTTAGAAAATGGAAAAGATACTTGGTTTTCACCCCAGACCTACTGAATCTCTGGATATTGGGCCTGAGTATGTATATTTTTAGAAACCTTTCCAGTGGATTCTGACAATCCCATTAAAAATGACCTTATATTATAAAGGATAAATTTAAGTTCTAATTCATGATTATTTTATGATTTATTTTCTCTTACATATGCTGGATCTTAATGACTCCAGCATTTATCCATTTTTTTAAGCCAGAAATCCCTCATCTTCCTTCAGTCCTTCTCTCCCTTAAGTCTGTTTTCTGTTGGTCACCAAATCCACATTTTACCTCAAAAACATCTGTCTTGAAATCTCCAATTCCATTCATGGAGTGTTAAGCATTCCGGTTGTACTACAGTCTGTCATTTGCTCCGCCTACACAGTTGTTGGTCCCTAAAAACAAAGTTGATTAAGTCACTCCTAGCTGACCTTTGTTGGCTCTCAGGATAAATTCAGCCCCCTTACCATGGTACCTTTGGCTTTCACTGGGAGGTCCCACTGTCCTTTTCCTTCTTCATCGCGGGTACCCCATACCATATTCCTGTTGCGGTGAACTTCTCACTAATGGATGGACACCAAACTTAGTAGCTCTTTGTATTTAAACTTAGTTTCTTTTACTTAGGATCTGCCCCTCCCATGCCTTGCTTTCAGTATTTGAGATGCAGTTCAAGTGATATCCCTTTGATAAAGCTTTTTTTTTTTTTTAACTCACAGTCAGAATCAGTTGCCCCATCCTCTTTATTGTACAATACTTTATTTTTTGTATCTTTATAATGTGATTTATGTGAGTCTCTAATCTCCCAGGAATATCACACTTTCAACATCAACCAGAATGTGAGCTTTTCATGTTTTTCCAGTCTCTAGCAAAGTGCATAGCATATAGGGAGCACTCAAATGTTTGTTCAATGAATGAAAACAAATAACTCTTCATTAGTTTGTACTGATTGAAACTGAAACAAGCTATGACAGTGGCCAGCTTGTTCTACTATTGAGATCTCTCATTCTTTAGGCTTTTTGAATCAGCCTTCTTAGACTTTGTTCTCTGTACATGTCAATTCCTTACTTTTTGAAGATCCATGTATAATACCTATGGGAATAAATTAGATACTTAACCATCTTTATTTCTATATCTACCTATGTGAAAAGTTCTGTCTTGGTCTAAAAATGGATGCTGCTTTACAGAAGAAAGTGCAACAATTTACATATAGTAGTGGCATAATTAGCATGGATTGGTATTTATCATAAATAGAATTTCAGAAATAATTATCAGTAATATTAGAAAAGAGGTTTGATTGTTAAATTCTTTTGCAGTTCTGAAGATGAAGTACTAATTTAGATGATGATCTTAGGTAGAGACCTAAGTACTACTGGACCAAATTATTTTATAACTGAGTATCCCCCTACCCTTCAACTCTATGACTGTGGTGTAATCTATGAAACAGTCAAATGTGATAACATAAAAAAGGGATGGAATCATATTAAAAATAATTAAAGCACAACTTCATAGAGAGTATCAAATACTGGAATAATCCAGTTTTAAATTTCTAGTATACCATTTTTCAAAAAAATTAGTTTTAAAGGTATAAATTGGATAATTAATATATTTAAACTACAAAATAGCCCCAAATTATTTTAAACATATAAATATACAAGTTGAAGCTTTTTATTGAAATTTAGAAATTCATCTTATGATTTTTGATATTAATCTGTTTTTCATTTGTCAACTACTTTGTTAATTGATTTCTATTTAACTCCAAAAATATTTTCCAAATTATATAATAAATATAGTCTTGATAATAAAATATACTTTTAAAATATTTTAAAGACAGTAAAATCAAGTTCTTTATTATCACTACTCTTATCTTTTATTCCAACATTTTGACAACACTGAGTCTTGTTTTGTATAAGCTACTTCATTGTTCAACCGAGGAAAAGATAACTCTGTGTTGTATGTGGCTGCAACTTGAAACTATATATACATACTCTTAAAAACATTTTTTGGATTATGGTTTTAAAATCAACCAGAGGAATGATAGGAATTTTTAATATGAGTTTTTATTTTTATGTAAGTTAATCACTTTTATTACCAATGTACCAGTGTTTTCTGTTGATTAGGCATATATTCAAAATTTAATAAATGAATTTTTTGTTAAATTTTTTCCTCACAGGTTCCTTCTCTAAAAATAAGCAATATAAACTATGCATCCTTATGAGATCTAGTGTTTGGAAAAACAAAGTGCCATCTTCAACTCAGTATCATTTCAAAATATTATTGGAACCTAAAATTGAACTCTATTTTGCTGAACTCTATTTTGTTTGAAGTATTTAAGTATCCTTAGTTACCAAAATCACTCAAGGGTGCCTTTTAACTTTATTTCAAGAGAAAGCTTTTAAGAGAATTCCGTATAAAAACTGAGGTAACTTGAATCTAGCCCTTTAAAAAAATTTTTTTTTCAAAGTTGAATACTTTCTCAATAATGCCAGTGAGTAAACTGTCAGAAATGGATTGTCTGAAATATTAATATTATAATCCTTTATATATAGAAATATCAGTGAGTTGCCTTGTTTATTTCCAAATATATTAAAATATGTTTGAATAATGACCACTATTATTTAAAATTTATGAACTTTTTTGTTAATTGTTTTGGCTGGAATATCTAAATGCTAGCATTCACACTTATATTTTAATCTATATTTTTCTTCTGTAACATTATTGGTAAATTTTGAGATTGTGGAACTCTTGACCCAGTCATACATGTACAGAGCTTGGCCTCTGAGTTAATTAAATATGAGTTAATAATATATTATAAGGAAATTATTGTCCTTATTACAGTTATTAGGTAGTTACTCAAATTATAGCTTCAAAGGAATGCAGAGCATGGAAAACTCAGGATTAAATTATGCATTTGAACCTTAGGCCAGCTTTTACTGTAGAGACAGTTTTCTGCTAAGAGAGAAATTGTATGTCATTGAAATTAAATGCTTTTCTGGGGATGGAAGGTTCCAGTTTTTAATGAAATTACTGAGTGTGGTGTAGTGAAATGATTAAAATCTGTATTCCGGGAATGTGGCAGGGAAAAAAAATCAATAAGTGCTAGCGCAGCTTTGCTGCTCAATGTGAATCCTGAGAACGAAATAAACTACTACAAAAATAATAATTAAAAACATATCAGCACATTAATTTATTTAGCATCAGTCTCCTGAGACATCATCTTCACTAATTTTTAGCATACATTTTACTGTGTAATGAGCAGCCTTTTTTTTCAAATATCCCTATTAGACAGGCAGTATTTCTGCCCTTCCCCCAGTGCTCCTGCATTGCAATCATTGTACTTGCACTTATTATGTTACAAATGACCGAGGTAAGGCTGACATTCTCAGTGCATGCAAAAAGACCTAGTCTGCCAAGCTTTTTTTCCCCCCTAATGAAGCAGCTTTGTGAAATCTCCCCATGTGTTAATACTAATGAAGATCCTCCAGCACAATTAAAATCACAGCCAGTGGCTGAAGAGGAAACATAAAACAATAGCATCTTTTAAGATACATTTATCCACAAATGTATGTACAAAATATACATATATGGTCAAATTATTCTTCTGTAGCTTGCCTTTCACTTGCTCTTCATCCTGAAAATTAAATCCTGCAATTTTTAATTATATAAACTTGGAGACTTTAATGTGTTCCGGGGGGGGGGGGAACACTACCTCAATGAAAAAAATCAAATTATATATATTCTTGTGTAATAAAGCATTAACCAAAGTTAAGATTTTTTTTTTAAATCATTTTTAAGAAGCTATGGGGTGGTAATACCCAGGAAGGAATAGGGTGTACTTCACCTTTAACTTTATTGATTTCAGGATGTTGGTATGGGGGAGGGGGGGGCGAGGGAGAAATGTAAGGGCAAACAACAGAAAGTTGGGAGATTCTGGGGGGTAGACAAAACGCATACCTCCTGTGTAGTTTAAGTGTGAGGCAATGAAGTATCAGTCTTGATTTCTAAAAGTGTTCAATTCCTACAATTGGCTACCCACCCCCCTTTTTGACTTCAAAAATTGGAGGGAAAAACTACAATTGAGATTACCTTTTACAGTCTTAACTTGTAACTTTAAAACGATTTGCTGTCTTTGCGTGTTTTATTTGAAATTTAATTCAGTGTATCAACACCACAGCTAGTTTAACTTGCCAGTGTTTGGTCAGTAGCGTTTTATCCCGGGACCATCTCGCGTCCTGATTTTTATTTTGAGTTCCAAACATCCACGAATTCTTGGCACGTTAATTTAGTTGGTCTACGGACTTAACCGAATTCTGGGTTCACGGACCAAAAGGTTTAAGTGGAAATGGTTAATGCCTGCTCCTTATTGTGCAGTGTACGGTCTTTAAAATTGGGTTTCCGATCCTCTTTTCTGTCCTAGTTTGGGAAGAAGAAAAGAATTAAGTCTCTTAACTTTTTCCTGGGACAAGGGACGGTTGCAAACTCGAAGCTGCAGTATTCTTGGGAGGAAGCAGCAGCCCCCTCCCTCCCCCGGCTCCTGGAGGAGCTGATAGGTCATTTATTATTGGAACTGAAATGGTATAAACAATTCTCTCTCTTTTTTCCCTTGTTAACAGCAACTTTCATTGTTAGAGAGAGGAGAGAGAGAGAAGCCTTGTTGGTTGACGTCACTTGGTTCATGAAGCCTTCGCCTAGAAGTGAAGCCGCTGAACAAACCTTGAGAAGAATCCTCTCCTGCTTCCATCTGCGGCCGGATCGGGGCTAATCAGGGCGGCGGCGGCGGCGGCGGCGGCGGCGGGGCCGGGCCGGGCCGGGGTCGGGGCCGGGGCCGGGGCCGGGGCCGGGCGGCCCGGCAAGGACCTCGCTCCGCGCCAACTCTTTACACTTTGCTGGCGAGAATAACAACCGAGATAAGGAGGCGGGGGGCTCCCACACGCAGGAATCGTCACCTTCAGCCGTCTGGGGAAGGCGAGGACCTCGTCCGCCGCAACTCTCAGTTGCAAAGTAAAGGTGAGTTCGGCGCCTCGGGGAGAGCGGGGTGCGGGGGGCCGCGGGCGGGCGGCGGCGGGCAAAGGGGCGGGCGGGCGGCGGGCGGCGGTCCCGGTCCCGCTCCCGCTCCCGGTCCCGGCGCCCCCGCCCTGCCCTGCCCTCCGCCGCCCCCGCCCCGGCCCCGGCCCCGGCCCCGGCCCCGCGCCCGCCCGCGCCCGCCGGCCGCCCCTTTGTTGTGCTGGCGGCGAGGCCGGGGCGGCGCTCGGGGTCCCGCGCGGAGTCGGGGCGCGGAGGACGCGGTCGGGGCGGGAGGCGGGTGCGGGCTCGGGGGACGGGAAACTTTACTCCGGGCTGCCGGGCGGGCGGCGGGGCCTTTGTGCGGGCCGCCCTGCCCCTCCGCCCGGCCCCTCCCGGCCGCCCTGCCCGCCCTGCCCGCCGCCCTGCCCGCCGCCAGCGCCTCCCCGGCCTCGCCTCCCCGCGCCCCGCCGGCCGCCGCTGCGATGGCCGCCGCTCGCCGGGAAGCCCGGGCGCCCGCCGCTGCCGCCCTCCTGCCTCCGCCCCCCGCTCCCCGGGAAGCCCGGGCGCCCCGCCGGCCGCCTCGGCTGCCTCGGTGGGGCTGGGAGCCGCGGGGCTCGCGGGGGGCGCCGGGGGGCGCCGGGGCAGGTGGGGCAGGTGGGGCCGGGCCGGGCTCCGGCGCGTCCTCGGGGCTGCGCGGGCGGAGAGGAGCTGCTCCCCGGGCCCCCCGCTCCCCCCGCTCCCCGGGCTCCCCAGGCTCCCCGGGCTCCCCGGGCCCCCGCCGAGCCCCCCCGCCCCTCCGCGGGCCGCGGGCCCCGCACCTCCTCTCCCCCGTCTCCCCCGCGTTTCTCTTTTGTGTGTCGCGTCCTCGTGAAGAGGGAGGCAGCTGCAGCCCTTGGCCGAGTTGTTGAGATTTACCCTTTGTGTGCACCACAATATCCTCCATTTTTCCCCTGCCCTCTACACAACAGGCGTTTCGCCATCTTGGGCAGTTTTTATTCCCAAGTCTCCTTTTTATTTTTTATTTTTTTTTAATTTTTAATTTTTTTTTTTTTTGAGGAAGGGAAAGAAACCTTAGGAAGGCGCAGAGCGCGCCTGGATAAGCCTCAAAGTTTAGGGGATGTTCGGGGCCCGGTGACGTCATGCAAACTTTACCGAGACCTTCTCGCAAGAGCGAAAGCCCCACCTGGTGCCCCGGCTCCGGGGAGCTGCGTGGCCGCTCGGGGTCCTGCTCGGGTCGGGGCTCGGCGCAGCCCGCACGGCCCGTCTCGGTAACAGGTGGAGAAGGACGAGCGCGACGGGGCCGTGGGCGCGTGGTGGTGCCCGCGGTGGTGCCCGCGGTGGTGCCCTCGGCGGCCCCGGCCTCCGCCCACCTGTCCTGTCCCTGAAGGTTTCCGAGGCTGCTTTTGAGCCGCAGAGTCGGTTCTCGCTCGCCCCGCTCTGCTGTGGACCTTCCCCTCATCAGCCCGGCCACTATTTTCACGGGAGATGATTGGGATTACCGAGATCCCCTTTTTGTAGTGGAATAATCTGTATGTGGTTTTTTACATAGTTCCTGGCATTTTAGAAAGATGCAATTTACCGAGACACCCGGAGATGCTGGATACTTTTAGAATTCAGTAGCAGATATTAGAAGATTGGCAAACGTGTGGTTAGTATTTAAGAGGAGACATTTGTTTTAAAATAGACTCTATGACTTCAAGCTGTAAGCTCCTTGTCAGCCATTAGGAAAAAATAAGCAGTAAAAACGAGCGTTGTTTTAATTTGCTTGTCTAAAATAGTTTTTCACCTCACACAAGTTGGGGTGGTCACATGACCAGACTTAACGCTACACCGAGTGGTATATGAGTAAGAGGCACTGCAGATTGAGGGGAAAGTGGGATTCTGTCTCCTGTACTCATTTCCAGTCAGCATATTTACTTCTCTTCTAACAAGGACATGAAACTGTCTGTATTTAATTTGCATTCTCTTTGTCTTCTGGGTTGGGGAAAAAACACTGACTACAATTAACTAAAAAAAAAAAAACAAAAACAAAAAACAAAAACTAATAGAAGCAATGCTGAATACATTGAAAAGGTTTGTCTGACATAAAAATTTACGTTGTATGCAGTAGTATGTTTTTATCTCTGTAGCGGTCTTCCTCGGGGTTACTATTGGCTACGTTATTTATCTTGGAATTTGCTTTATGTAAAACGCTGTATAGAAAGCTTGACTGAACTGAACGTCTGCCATTTATGTGAATTGTAGGTAGGTGAAAAATGTTTAAATAGTTAAAAGCACATAGAACAGATGGTTTTAAATTATACATGCAACAAAGGACTAAAAGATTTGGCAGATTATAAATGGCAAGCAACAAAGGATAAGCAGTTTAAGAAAATGGTAGTTAAGTACATTTGATGTCTCACCCCTATTGTAAACACTGTACATATTGTCACTATGCTGCATAATCAATAATTTAGCCAACAGGGAGTCATTCGTGAGTTTCAGATAGAAAAAAGTCAAATTTTACAAATGTTTGAAATGGGTGGCTGGATATAAGATTATTTTAAACCTATGGTGACAAATAAGAGTCTCTTAGGGGAGGTGATCGAATTGTATGCTGTAAAAAGAAAGTTATTTATCAGGGCTTAATATCGCTGTATTCATATAATGGTTTGGAGAGAAGTAGGAGTAGGTACATGCTTTAAAATCCAGAGAAGAGTATCTTTACTGTTCTTATATGTTAAACTATTTGCTGAACTGTAGTAGCATTTATTCTTTCAGACACTCCTTAAAATACTTTTAGCGTATTCAGTCTTGGAAACACATTTATTAGAATACTCTTGACATAATTTACTAGGTTCTTACTAAATGAAGGAAGAATCTGTTTTGTTATTTTTTGAGTTTTGTACATTATGATAATATTCTTTTCTTGGTGAATGTAGTTTGCTCTCAATTTTTAAAATGTAAGGATTTTTATGTAGTTTTTGCCTTTCTAGAAGGAACTGAGTAATTATAGTTAGCGTTTTTCAAGATTTAAAATAACAAAGTATTCAGAAATTTGTTTTTATTTTTATGTCATTTATTTAAAATGCGTTTAAGACTGTAATGGAAACCTTGGAATTTTAATTCTGTTGCCCTTTCTCTCATTTCTTTGTTTGCATGTTTATTATAGAACTGCAGTGTAAAGGAGCAGATGTTTTGCCAAACATCCTGATGTGTTGCTTTTTCTTATGTGAGTGCATAACTGTTCCTTCTGATGCATCAACTTGACAGCTGGTTGATTTCATGGAGCTGCTAAGAAGCCATTAGTGGTGTCATTGAATTGAAACAGAACAGTCACTCCCAGCTTGAACTGCAATTGTTAATGTCTTTGTTGCTACTTTTGTGTTACTATACAAGATGTAGGATATAACAGTTGCATGAAAGTTCCTGTTTTCCGTCTTATCTCCTTGAATTAGTGAAACAATGTGTTAAACTTGATTACTTTTAGGTTTAAAGATTTCTGAAAGGAAAAGATTTTTAAATTGTAGTTTCTGAGTTTCTGACCTAGTCTTAGCCAGGACTACCAAAACAAGTGATTCAACACAAACAAAATAATGTGTGATTCTGACCCCTAGTTGAAATTATATCATCTTAATGATTTTTAATATACTTGATATCCTGAGGGATTAATTAAATTACTTAGTTAGGTATTCTAAGAAGTTTTTGATTATATAAAATTAAGTATTTCATACCATAAGGTTTTAAAAAGTTGTGCTCTATTTAATAAATGTTGACTTGTTTGATTAAATATTTAACATTTTGTTACAGAAAGTGATCAGAAGAAAAAAGAAGTAGTGAGGAAATGGGCAGTTTTATGTTTAATTTTCTTTATAAGGGGATGAAGATATTAAGTAATTTAATAGTGCTCATTTAATGATTTTAAAAATTGAAATTATATTATTGTACTAGTAACTTTTTATGATACACCTTTCACACTGGTACTAAGTGGTCTCAAATCATCCCATTGATACCTAAGTGTTTTCTATTTATTTATTTATATGGTGGGAGGGGAGATAGAATGATCATTCTTTATTCTTCCTCTTTCCTAACACAGAAAACATTGCTTGTTTGTTTTTTTTAAATGTATAAAAAACCTTTAGGATAAGAAGTGTAAGGATATGTGATGTAGTTTATCACTGTGTCAGGAGATCTCTTCTAGTTCTAGTATTTACTCATTTTTAATTTTTAAAGCTTTAAGTACGATAAGCATTTAAACAGCTTTTTAAAAGGCATAAAATTTATGACATTTAAAATAGTTTGCCTTTAATAAAACTTAACATGTGAAGTTAGTGATTAGAATATATGATTTGCTGAGTTAAATACCATTAAAATAACTTTTTATGCAATATAAACAAATTGTAAACACTTCTAATATACTGCTGAGTGATTCTCGAATTATGATTTCCTGAAATTATAAGTTTATAAAGATGTTTTCCTTTTAAATAGATCATACATTCCTAAGACTTCTTTCAAGTAATATGCTTTCTCGACTCTTTTTATGTAATAGCCATATATAGTTCCTTAAAAAGAAAAATCATTCTGCTACCTTAGCCTATGATTCAATTTTTAAGAAATATACTTATTCTTAGCATTTGTGTCAAGGCAGATGTTCATATAAGCTAAGTTATGGTAAATTGTATAAATATAAACTTTTAAGGGAATCTCAATGCTTAGCCCTTTTTTACAGGTAACGTAGTCTTAATTGTACTGTGGATCAGCACCCCATTATTTAAGTAGGAATTGTTCCACATTGGGTGACTCTAAACAGAAGAGTCATAAAAAGTTTAAACTTTATAAGTTTTTCTGTTGGCCCTATTAACTTTGCAGTTATGGGCATAAGTATGATTGATTTATCATTACATATGGAATTATAAAGTTTTGGCAACATCTTTGCTGAAAGAAAAACAAAAGGAATTTGCATGACTTTCCAAGTCTATTTTGAATGTTATGTGAATTGTGACAGTTCACAATTAACAGTTTGAGATGAAAAATATTTAATAATCTTGATATTATAGTTTAAACAGAGGTTTTAGAATTAATAGGCTTTTTTTTTTTTAAAAGAAAGCACTTCTTTTTTCTTTAATTTTTTATTTATTTATGATAGTCACAGAGAGAGAGAGAGAGAGGCAGAGACATAGGCAGAGGGAGAAGCAGGCTCCATGCACCGGGAGCCTGATGTGGGTTTCGATCCCGGGTCTCCAGGATCGCGCCCTGGGCCAAAGGCAGGCGCCAAACCGCTGCGCCACCCAGGGATCCCCTGAATAGGCTTTTATAAAAGTATGAGGTGAAAATAAAATTTTTGTCACACTTATTTAAAAACTTACTGTATAATATAGGGTGTTTTCTATCTTTTTTTAAATTAATGCTTTTAAAATAGTTGTTTTTATAATTTATGAAATTTGATTTATATTTTGGTTTTTGAATGCCTTTCATTAAAAAAGTGTTAGAGATAATAATAATAATGAAGGTAATAAATAGATAAAGAACCTTTACTAATTTTGTGTGTGCAGATGTATGCATTTATATTTAAGGAAAATGAAGCATTTGGTTTAAAGATAATTATTGCATTGGTACTTCAGCTATGTGTAGGCATAATTGTGTGTTTTTCCTCTGTTTTCTCCTCTTAACACTTTTCCACAAGCATGCACTCATTAATCAAAGACGGTGCACTCCTGCTGAGGGCAGAGAGGTTCATCAAATTGGCAGTCAGTTTGGTGTAAAGAACGGTGTACTGAAGCTCTTAACTCACTGGGACATAAATAAATCTAAGGTCTTTGTATGCAAACCCTGGAGGTTAATACTGTATAATTCAATGTCCTGTCTTTGTTTTTATGATTGATGTTTTTAAATGTTTCAAGCTTGATGCAAGTCTTCTAGTAGGTCAGGTCTGACATTCTGATTGGCTGAAGTAAGAAAGCATTAGGTTGTCAGAAGGACTTTGAGTATGCTGCAGAGATTTTGATTTTTTTTTTTCCCCTACGAGAGATCATTGTCATATTGCCTGAGCTGTTATAGGAATGTACCAATGATTGACATCCCCCACTGTGATAATGGACCCAGTGCATGAAATGCCAATAGTTTGGTCCTATTTGTTCGGAAGCTTACTGCTATTTGTATCCTTAACAGAGCTAACATGTAGAACAAGCAAAACTACTGGGATTTCTATGTAGAAATAGTGCTGGGATTTGGCTTTAACATGAATTGGTTGCATATTCATAATTTAAGAACAGCTGGTTACAGCAAGCACATAGTCATTTGCAAGCTATTATAAACCATTCCACTCACACATGGAGCCCGTGCTTAGTGATTTTTTTTTTTTTTTTTTATTGATCTACCTGCATTTAAAATCTGGTCACTGCTGCTACAGAAGCTCTTCATTTTAGCTGTGTTTGCAACATAGAACAGCTTCAATTTTAAATATTTAATTTAAACTAAATGCAGAATAAAAAGAAGCAGCTTTGAAAGAACCAAGTGTAAAAGGTCAATAATGCATTACCCATCATATATCTCATCTTGGCCAAAAACAAACAAACCTAGATTACACAGCGATTGTGATTTTGGGGAAATATGTTGTATAATTTTATCCATAGATAAGTAACTGAATTATCTTTG